AATTTCTGCAAAACTGTTGAATATTACAAAATAATCGATCAACTTTGAACTCCCTTAAGTGGGTAAGAAGTTATACCTGGAGTTCTGCAGCTAAGACTCTGGCCATTTACAAAGTTAGTGAATTAAAGCGCTAAAAAGTTTACTCTAAGGTATAATTGACTGGGGAATCCCCCGCACCAGCTATCTTTGTACTGAAGTAAAGGTTATCTCCCACAAACAAACAAGAAAGTGCAGTGTGTTTTACACAGTCCAAAAGAAACATTTACTTCCCGGAGTGCCGTGCTTTTCTTCACCCTTTTCCGTGTGACGAGAGCAAGCAAATATCCGCATCGCACAGGGAAATATAAAAGATTGAGTAAACTTCTTGTGCAGGACAATGACACACGAAGTTTACTTGAGTTGATCAGAGGTGCACCACACTTCCTTTCTTTCTCTCTTTCGTTTTGAACAAACGCGAGGTTTTGTTCATTCTCGTCACCGCCTCCCCCCCCCGTCGAAATGTTAGGGGGAGTCGGTGGCCTGTTAGGACGCGCCAATCTCAAAATATTGGAATCAAATTAGTAAGCGAGAGTACAAATATGGATCACCGTTTGTTAGTTTATGAAGTAGGCAGATGGGCAAGATTTCTTCTTAAACTTGTGTGAGTGAATTCTGGCTATACACAGTTTAAACAGAAAAGCCGCGGAAATGAACAGTCTTCTTGAAAGCACATCACGTCGTGTGCCTGGAAGAAGGACGTACGCCCTTTCGCTGGGAAGCATGATCACTGAAAAAAAATTTCCCGGCAAAAGGACGTAGTATGCAACTGTTTTATTTTAATCATGATAATGATTTCTTTGCAAAACGTTATTAAAAAATCTCCCAAGTCCTTTAATATGTTGTTCAAAAGTGTTTTTTTTGTACAGCTTGTGTTGATTTTGTAGTAAATTTTATCCGTTTTTACTTAATAAAGAGAGTGTATTTCTTAAGCCCTTTTGCCGGGAACAGTTTTTCTGCTGTGATCAAGCTTCGCGACAAAAAAGCGTAGGGCCTAAGATTTTGCCGACCACACAACACAAAAGGTTTCTATTGCAAGCTATGAGCGGCAGCTTCGGAAACTTAAAATCATTATGTAAACGCTGCACAATTCAATTAGATTAACACAAGAGGGCAGTCAAATAGTTCTTTCAGAGGGATAGTAAACTGAACATTGTACGTCCTATGTAAACTTCATTTCATGAAGCCTCCAGTAGAAGAAATTGCGCTGGATACGCGCTAAGGAATAGGAATTTTAAAATCGAGATTGTAACATACTTTACATGCAGTAGTTTGAATATATTATTTCTGTACTGTGTTATTGCAGGATTCATCAGGTGAATTCGTATGGAAGTAACGTCGCCGTCAACATGTGGTGGAATCACCAGGCCTACGTTGTACCAACCCCGGAGTCCTGCGGAAGGCCCGACCCAGGGCTCTCGCTGGCTGATGTTCGCTTCTATTTCCACGAACAGCCAGACGCTTACAAAGAGGGCGATCTCCATCCGGAACTGGCTTTCGTTCAGTACCCATCGTAAGTTGCATGATTTCAAATGAATGGGTAACATGCAGCGCTGATAAAGCGCTTTATATCCCTAAAAGGGGTTTCCCAGGGTTTCATAAATGTCACCCCTGGTCACTGGGCCATGAGATTTTTTTCTACAGCAGCTCAATAGAAGCATGCATGCTCTATACCATCACAAATTTGAGGAGAGAAGCAGTAATTTTTTGCTGAAGAGTCTTGCCTAAGACACCTTCACAATGATACCCATAATTATTGGGTCAGAAGCAACATACACCATCGCACGTGAGTGAACGCCAAACCGCTTATCATCATTGCACATCGAAATAGTTGGGAGCGGTTACTTGAATTTTATTGTCGTTGTTTTCAGCGCAAGTTTGACGGCATTTATGGTCGAAGAAGAGATGGAGTCATTGACAGAGCGGCAATTTCTTGAATTCATGGACATGGTAATCCACAGAATACTTGATTGCATGTAGTAAAGTTTGTTTTTTGCTTTCATTAACACGGCGTTTACTCAAAATGGCAGACTTATTGTAGTCTTTACGTGGCAAATGTCGCACTTGAGATCTCCGATTGCGAAAATAGTCATCGTCTTACTGTTATTTAACAGTGTTAGTCGATAGTCGATACCGTTGTATCCCGGCTCAAGTAAAGCATTCGAGCAAAGGGAAACCTAAAAACAATGCAGGATGATAGCTTTTCATTAAAAGATTTGCTAAAATGACGATACAGTTTGTCAAATTGACAAGATGAACCATGCCTTCTCCGTACGATTCATTGTATTGTCAAAATGCAGAAGCAGATGGGGGGCCCACCCTTGCAGCAATTACAACATAAAATATTGTTAAGAAATAAAATGTAGAACAATTCCAGTAATAGCAAAAGAAGGTGGCATCCTATAAGGGTTCTAATATGCATTAGGGGGCCTACTTATGTGTCAACATGTCCCTAACAATCGAACATAAGAGAAATCAGACGGGCTTGACACCCCCCCCCAAAAAAATTCCTAGATCCCATCATTTAGGAATTGAGAATTACGTAGAAGAAATTCAAAAATGATGTTTGTGTTTCAGTTACTGGCAGTAAAGCCAACACTGCTGACTGGTTTCGTAGACCTGTCTTTCTCTGAGTGACTTGCCTTGTACGGTTGGCTGTACAATCAGGCCATTGAAAGCCATTTGGTAGCGGCTATTCAATCATTCACCACAGACGCACGTGTTAGCCCTAGCCACGGTCGACACATTTCAGACACGGCCTTTGACATTCTCCCTTCTCAACTTTCCCACTCTTTAGATACTGCCCGGGTTGGACCACAGTAACATCTGGACTGAAGAGGCTTTGAATCTTACACATCAGGTAACCTGCACTGCTCCATCGCGCTTGAAACTTGGGTGACATGCAGTTCTACTGACTACAAGCTAATTCAATCAATGTCCAATAATGTTTATCAGAAGATTTCCAAGGCTTTTCACTGAAATTCCACAAAGGATTTTAAGACTAAGACTAGGAATAGCCGATCAGGAGTTGAAAGCGACTGAATTTTTTCAAGTCACGTGATATAAGTGGTCTACTTGTTTGTTATTGGTGGCAGGCCGAGTGCGACGAGAAAGCCACTCCCTTTCGTGTTTACCTCCACCTGTCTCTGAAATCTGCTTTGTTAAAACCATAACAAGAATTTGTTTTCCGTGTGGCAGATATTCAAGATTCTTGATATCGATGGCAATGGGGAGATAACATTACAGGACGCGGAGGAGTTTCCCAGGGATGTCAACGAGGTTGGAGTTCAACATATTTCCCCCAAACCTTTGCATGCTTCAAATACAAACAGAGGAATGACTAGACCAATATCTAAGGGGCAATGGAAACAGAAAATGGTCGCTCAAATCGTTCGAAGTGACAGGCTACCTGTCCAAATCCACGTGATTACCTCTCGCCCATAACACTGCCGAGTATGTCAATTTGCCGCTGGTAAAAAGTTGGTACACGAAACACTGAGACACAAACTTCAACGCCTCGGCACTAAGCTGTATTAGTTTTTGTAACTCAGAAGTTCAGACTTTTATTTTTACTTTGAAAGAACTTGTCAGAGCGAAAAACCGACCTCGATTTGACTCTTCTTCTTTTGTGATCTTCCCTCCAGCTTAACCTCTTTTTCATCAACCTCGGACAGAAGATGATGGTCTTGTGCGACATCGTTGACGGTCAGATTTCAAAGCAAAAAGAGGTAGGACTCCCGACTGGTTCCTGTGCGAATCGATGATACGCAGTTATTATCAATGGAATTTCATTCACGGGGTTACAGTGCATGGCATTGATTCTGTTTAAATGTTATTCTTGCAGGAGACTTTGAAGAGGTTACAGAGAGACAAAGTCCAAGATGCTGACAAGCCATTTCGTGAACCTAGCAGCAAGATCAGACAGATGAACGATCGAATTTCTGTGCCTAAACAGGAATTGTAATGATCAGTTTTTCAAAACAAAAATGAAATTTTGAGAAAATGTTTAACGATATAATTTCCTTCTAACGGATACTCTTTCTATGGATTGACTTTGAAAGGAAATTACTTTAAAACATAAGTTCATATACGATAATGGAAATAATAGTTGTTCATTGTTTTGAGGCTATAAACATGGCTACAAGAGCTGTTTTTCTTTCCGTTCATGTTCTACACTTTACTTGCCCTTCTTTTCAAGCTCTATAGAATATTTCTGTAGCCTTAACGTACAAATATACGGTATCACAGATGAAACTTTCTTTTCATCGTAAGGCAATATATCTTATTCTCACAACAATCGTTTTGCTGGCTTATTCAATTATCATGTTAATGTTTACATTATGAATATTTGTATAAGGACAGCGTTTCCCGTCTTTTTAAACACTTTCAGTTTTGATAATATGCAGCGCTGACAATTTATAGTACTCCTACCTATTCGACAGTCAGATCACGGCATGTTGCAATTATACCCAGGAATGGTTCCACACAGCGGAAAGTGTGTTGAGAGATGGCGCTATTCACGGTAATAGATCGCGGCTCTTCCTTTTCATTTGATTGGACAAAAGTTGCGTGGGGCAGGGGTGAGCGCACTGTTGTCTTTGCTGAGAGCCGAACTCAGAGCAAAAACAAATTAAAATTGAGGATCCGGGTTTGGCTAAAGATGCGAAGTCTAAGCGTTTAGTTTTCTTTTCATGACAACCACAAACGTTGTCTTGTTCCATCTTCCAGCCTATTCTGAATTAACAGAGATTTGTCGGAATACAGTTTGCAGTGAATTTGCTCAGGAAAAGTTATACCGGTATTGTACTAACAACACGAAGTACCAGCCTTTCCCACATCCCTAACTAGTACTGTAATTTTTATATGTAAGTGGCCTTCATAGTTCTCGTTTAGATCTGAAATTCCAATTCACTCCAAGAACTCTTTCGTGAGTTTGCTTTTAGTAGGAAGGGAAACTGTACGACAAGAAAAGAAGAATCCCGGAAACTTAGCAACTAGTTTGTGAAGGTTTTTAATAATTGTGAGCACGACCGCACTCAAAAACCCTCACTCAGGGACACCCCAAGCCAACTCCGCGGCCCAGAGCTAGAGGTGGCCCTGTCCCTGAATATTGTCTGAATTTCTCGCGCCCAAACCTGTGTGATTTGCTCGTGCAGTCTCGGGTAAACACGACACCTGAGGGGAAAACGCAGACCATGTTGTTTTACTTGCCGCTGGCCAGTCAAGCACAATGTTTGAAACGTTAATCAAAAGTGGTTTACCTCGTCTTTGTACAAGAAGGAGGAAGTGTGTGTGTTCTAATGACACTTGGTACCGCTGGTACATACTAAATCACAACATTTGTTGAGAGAATTAAAGTTATGACGTCTGTGCTTACTTTTATTTGATTTCTTGTGCCAATAAAGAAGTGATCAACAAATTCCTTGAAAACACACCTTTATGTACCATTTAACCCAATTTTCAATTACGAGTTTTCATCGTGAGGGTATTTTAAGGCAATTCGTTTTTAATTGTTGGCAATTCTTCATGAGCTGAAAAGTATAATCCTGACAAAAAGGGGTTAATTACAGCTATTACAATGGATGGCTTGGGAATTATCTCTGTGATCTTCGTTGTGAGAGTCACGGAGTGGCTAGGTTGGTGTTTTTATAAAGCTGTGCGGATTCTAAATCGGAATCACCAGAAATATATATATTCCATGCATGAAATGGGGGATTGCTGGTAGTTGAACGATTAAAAAAAACAACTCAGCAGTACCCGGAATTGCAGGGAAAAAAGCTCCGTAACAAACAGGTGCTGGGACCGAGAGATTTCTGTACTTCAATACCGTTGAAGATTGGCCATTTCGCCCAGACAAGATTGCCCGAGAGGACCCACCGCTCTGGAGTTCCCCATTCCTTGGCTGATTACAACATTCATGACGTCATGCTTCCGTTTTCGGTCACCGCTTTTCATCACGGTTCATGTCGAGAGGTCGATCACCATTGCAAGTTCATTCCTGATTGGTGCATCATCACCCTCAACCAACTCTGAATTACGCCCCCAAATGGTTTGCTTTATAGGGCCATGCGTGAGTGGGCGGAGTCAGACCACTTGGTGATTATGTTAAAAACGGAGCACAGGGCAAGTTCACTTCACAACCAGACTTCAAGATGGCAGCGAAGACAAGTGTTCGTGCTTCCGTCATCCTGTTTTGGATGCTACTGTCTCTCCCAGCATCGGGTAGGTTTTTCAACGCGTACACTGGTCATGATGGCTGGAGGTGACTGCATAATCTACGACCGTTGTGCAGGCCTGTAAAGTCCTAGGCAACATAAGAAATTTGTACACTAATATCCAAAATACAGCACGTTCTTTGATTGACAGATGCATATGGAGGGTGTCATCCTCCAAGCGGCAATGCCACTGTGACTGCTAAAATGAAGCACATGTGATTTTAAAACGTGTACTCGTATTTTTTTCCAACTTTTCAGATGCGTGCCGTGGGGGTCGTGGAGGCGGCAGTAAGTACCTCTACCAACTTCGTTTCCAAGGCGTTCAGCAGTGTGCCCCTAAGTTTACCCGCTCCCCCGTACACCCATTTACTTTTTGCACTCACACGTTAATCAGTAATCAACGTTAGTCAGTCGGCTCTGCGACGTCTGGTGTACACTTTAAAAAACGTTGGTCAAAACAGTGTTGGGCATTTGTTATTTGCCCGACCTTGGTTAAAGCTACCACATTGTTGGTTAATTTTCCGTCACTGTTGGTCAAACATTGACCAAATATTGGGAAGAATTTGCCCAAAGGTTGCCAAGTTGATATTTTTACCAACATTGGGCAAAATATCAACCCAAAATTGACCAACCTTTTTACATTGTAGACTAATCTAGCGATCAGAATTAGAAGCCATAATAATACTGCGGGGCAATCCTCCTCGCAAGGCGTGTAATTGGTACTCACGCTCGAAGATGATCCGTGCCTGAGTGTACGTGCGACATGCTTTGTAAAACCCTCCTAAATGTTGGCGCGCGTTACATGCCTCCTCAACCGATAAGCCAAAAGAACGCATGCGCCAAGTTTAAAAATGCCTGTGTGGGTGCAGCTCCGGCGTATTTTTGGCGTCTCCTCGGATCTATGTGGTCCCACATGCAAGCAAGCGCGTACGACGAGCGTAGCCAGCTGCAACAAAAGACAGATCAGTGGCTGCAACATGCAGTGAAACTATCCTGCTCACAAGTGTGAAGTCGTTGTAACTTAAACCACGCCCACTCAGGCAAGGAGCCTTTGTATTAAGTGCTGGCTTCCCATTGATTGGTCGGGTACATTTTCAATACAACAAGTATTTTTCTGACGTTTCTGTTAGTTCCAGCCGTTGACGGATATTAAACCTACCGTTGGTTACCCTTTTACTGTTTACATAGCTTCATGCAGGCGACCGCCAACCTTAGTGCGTGGAACTTGCCCCTGGACTATAACAGTGTATGCAGGCCCTCTGTCATCGAGTGCGAATGCTCGATGGTCTGAACCGAGAGCAAGAACTGAAGACACCCATTGTGGTCCCGTTAGGTGAGTACCAGTTTTCCCTGTGTCTAACGTTATAATTACCCAGATTTAGTGTGGAAATATCAAAAAATGATGGAAGAGAAAGTAAAGTGAAGGGCTCGCCCATCTATTTCGGAGCTTTCTCATTGGCATATTTGAGTAAGTTTCAGAAAGGCTTTGTAATATATCCTTGCTTTGAGAAATGTTATAAAAGGGTTGACAGAATTACAGTGAAAACGTTACTGAACTTTTCTCCATCAGTCACGTTACACTTGCAGCACTTACCCCGGCCTCCTGTACGCGCATGCGTAAGCGGCCAAATTAGTGAGAGCTGCCTGGTCATTAGTTTTTCTTCAAAGATGTCGGAAAGCAGGCGACCTGCTGACAGACGTCAAACGACTCTGGCAGTCGGTTTGGAAGTTGGATTTTGATGACGGCTGACGATAGAACGGCAACACACTTTCGGTTCTAAGACCACGGGCTATAACCTAGGCCTTCGTCGACACTTGGTTTTGCTGTTTGAGCTCGACATGCTAAACAGCAAAAGATTTGTGTTTAGTCCAGACATCTGGCGTTTCATTTGCAGAGTTCTGAGAGAGGATGGCGGCCCAATCAATGGTGGCTACTTCGATGCTAGTCAATCACCTTACTACATCAGATACTCAGCCACAGATGCAAAAAATAACAGGCAACCCAACTTGTGTTCATTCATAGTCATTGTGAGGAGTAAGTACTGAATATTCTTACCTCATCTACCATTTTTACATTATTACGAAAAATAATATCAGTGGTAATTTTGCACGATGCTCGTTCAAGCCCGTAGAATTTGTTTGTGAGAGGGGTCTTAGTTTAGGTAACTTGGGCCCTACTTATGTATAAATCGGAGAACATGAAAATGACTATTGTGCCAATGATATTTTAGCCTAATTGCTTTGTACATGCCTATAGGTGGCAATAATTTGGTCTGTGATCGTCAGGTATGAGAGTTAGAGTACCACAGAATGGGAATAAGATTATGAAACTGGGAAGTTATTAAAACCAGCTGGTAGTTTACCATCTGATGAAACTGAATACCGTCCATAATGGCAGGCTATTGACCAATAGAAATGGGTAAACTGTCTGAGGTTTAATTTATGAATGGTATAGCTGTTATCTGAGAATATTTTTTTATTCAAAAGGTTTAACATCAAAAAGGGAAACTTCTTGGATTTCTTTATTTTTAGGGAGAAACCGACCGGGCCTATATAGGAAAATGTATTGAAAAAAACACAGAGTTTGGGGGATCTGACGGAAGGTGGTTCAATGCTTTAATGATTACTTAATGGCTTTGCTTATATTAGCAAAACTACGTAGTACACAGCCAGATGTCATTGTTGTACTCATGTTTCTGCTCCCCTTTAGTAAAGAGATGTGGGCCACACCCCCCAGTGACTCGGGGTTTGGTTTCCTGTTCTCATCAGGACCAGTACGGCTCACAGTGTAACATCACCTGTTCACCTGGTTACTTCATTCAAGGATCAGGCACTCGAACCTGCCAAGCAAATGCAACGTGGTCTGGCCTTCCACCCAGATGCACAGGTAAGAGAAAAAAGTCAAATGGTTTGTTCAGTTTTTAGCAAAACAGTTTTGGGCGGACAGGCTCTTGACTAACAGGAATGGGTAGATCGTCTGAGATGTAATCATTTTGTGAATGTTTAGTGAATGCCTGAGAACATGTGTGTGTGTGTGTTTTTTTTAAAGGAAAATTTATGGATTTCTCTATTGTAGGGGAAAGCTGATTAGACCTAAATTGGAAGATGTATTGAAAATTTACAAAGAAATCACAGAGTTTGGGAGATCTGAACATAAATGGTTCAGTAAAAGCTTTAACCAGTTTCCTACTTTTGAATTGATTTGCTTGTCTCGTCAAACTTACATAGCCAGATCATGATGTCATTTTTGTATATTAGCTTGATATTTACTTCAAAAGAAATTTTCCTGAGAGTGAAACTCACTATGGTTTGACACTTCTTCCTCTTGTGATCTTCCCTCCAGTTTAACCTCTTTTTCAACAACCTTGGACAGAAGATGATGGTCTTGTGCAACATCTTTGATGGTTAGATTTCAAGGCACACAGAGGTAGGAATCCCGACTGGTTCCTGTCATACCTGCTGTGCGAATCGATGAATCAATAATTATTATCAATATAGTTTCATTTATGAGTTTTGCCTTTCATCTGTGGCAACCTCTTGGTGGCGCACTTTGTTATGGACGTCTCTCACATTGTAATAATTACGTTTCCAAAATATGAAGTTTGGAGTAAAAGTTTAAGCTTTGATTTCCTTCCACGGATATTCTTTGAATCACCTTTCAAAGGAAGCCTCTCTAACACATAAGTACATGTACTACAATGGTAATAATAGTTTTTCATCGTTTTGAGGCTGTAAATATTACTGCAAGTGCTGTTTTATTTTTGTCGGTGTTCTAAAATTAATTTGCGCTTCCCTTGAAATTCTAGCATGCTTTGTAGATCAGAGATAAAACTTTCTCCTTTTTGCATACCAATGTACCTTATAGTTACAACAACAGTTTTATTGACGTGTTCAATTATCATGTTGATGTTTACATTATGAATATTTGTACAAGCACGTGCGCGTTGTTTCTTTTTAACAACTTCCCGTTTCGATAACATCTCATTAGTATGTTTTTTGTAGGCAACATTTTGGAGTCAAAAACAAGAGAAAGAAAACACGTTAACATGGCATGCTTGAGATTAAGGCTAGTGGGTACACTTACGGTTGGGAAATGGGTGAAATGAAAGTATGAGAGTGCCGCATTGTCCATGAAATATATTACTAAAATCCTTGACTATGCAACGTTATTTTAAATTAATCACTATTTCTATCTGTATTTTGGGCCTTTTTGTGTTTTGCATATTCATGAGCAACGCGGTGATGTAATCGGAGGAATTCGGGCATTGAACCTCAATGCTGCATTGATCTGTGCACAAAAAATGTTAGATGAATTATACTTTTCCACTTCCATTAGCAAATTATTGTTGTATGAGTTTAAAGCAATTATTTCAATTTTTGTTTTCCAATTTGTATTTTGGGGCCATTATGGTATTATGCTAATATGAATACGGCCGTTTCACAATAGGGCGCCTCCAAGAGTTTGTAACGCGTTGGCCAGTCACAACGCTCGAAATTTGTCGACCCTTTCTAAACGCGCATTGGGTCGACAACTTTCGCGCATTTTGATTGGCCAACGCGTGGCAAACTCTTGGTGGCGCACTATTGTGAAACGGCTGAACTGAATGCTCATGAGCGATACAATGATGTAATAATATGCACTGTACCCCAATGTCGCATTGGTTTGTACACAGAAAATGAATTAAATTTCAGTGATTTAATCACTCAGTTTCGTCACTGAATTTATCCTTAAGATGGTGTGAATTAGCGGTTATTTGGCTGTCCTTTTTGTTGTGATTCAAAATTAACTAAAACGAAAAGACCAAAGAAATCAGGTATAAATGTTTCGCAATAATTACATAACTCACTTTTATTTGACTGTCTCTTGTTAATTAGTTAGATTTAAGAGCCAATGATTTGTAGACAAATTTATATTAATGAAAAAATTGATTTTTTAAATTAGTAAAATGATTGAAAAAAAAAGGAATTTGCTTTTCCAACTCAAAGCCATTTCCAGATTGAGACAAAATTTACGATAAATAGGACGGATAATTTTTTTAAAATTATAATGCTCTGAAAATGAAATTAAGTGATGTTATTTCGAATTGGAATCAACATTTGGGGCGAGTGACCACCCTTTGACGAAACTGAACGTCTTTTCAGCAATATTAAGTCAGAGAATTGCAACCAGAAAAACCTATACTTTGCTCTCACCGATTTCTTTCCTTTGGCAGTTTATTGTTCTATAAGTATATGGCAGAATGCCAGCAAATTCTCTCAGAAATTCTCTCAGAAATATTTTCAGAGAACAAATTTGAAAAAAGTCCAAACTTTGAATACGAAAACATGCAAATTGGAGAGGGTCTTCCCAGATTAATATCACACTAAAAGCGCTCTCACTTGTCTGGAAAAGCTTGGCCAATTTTGAATTTTTTAAAAAGTACATTTACAGTTGACTGAAAATTTGAAAGATTTCAAACAATTTTCATACAGTGAAGAAAGAGTTTATTAAACATGCAAGCTATCTTAAGAAAAGCTCTTACACTGTTCCTTCAACTTTTTGCAAATACAGCCTGAAAGTTGACCCCTGATGGCGCGCTTCCGAAACTCTTGGGTAGGAAAAATAACTTTTAGAATTTGTAATATATTTCCGTTGAGTTGCTTCTTAAAAAATCAAACTCGGAAAAGGGGCTTTGGGGAATATTTGCTAATATATCAATTTACAGAAATTGAAAAATCAACCGACCTAAAAGAGAAATATCCTGCCAAGTAACCCATCACTTACGAAAATCTAAAATACATGAAAAACAGTGCAATGAGGCAGTCTCGTACTAGATGAACATTTACAGTTTGAAATTTTATGGCAGTCTGCGGTAAAAGCCGAAAATAAAACAGATCAAAATATATTACATACTTTTATAATTTATAAGGTAATAAACTTAAAGCAATATTGTACTTTTACGAAAGATTCTTATATTTTATCTAACCTTTGCTGACAATAACTGCGTGATGTCAACTCAACGGAATCTGGAACCCATCGACTGCAGGTAGGTAAATCTTTGCAACGTTGTACACTCTCGTTTTCACGAAAGCACGGGAGAATGAAGACAAACGTGCATGAACAAGGAGACCTGGGTACGATATCGCCAGAGGGGAAAGGTCGTTAATAAAATTCGTTTTTTTTACCCATTTCCAGGTGACTTTTCCTAAATAATACTTGATGAAGACAGGTGAACCTCCATCATAAAGTTTGCATGGGGTGGTTTCAGTTCAGGAATTATTCTTCCAAAAATTATCGAACGTGAAAGGACGGCCCCATAGGCAGACCGTGCGAGGGTTCCGGAAGCTCGCTGTGTGACCTTTTACTTTCAGCCTCTTTACCTTTATACGGTCAATTCATAATAGTGCGTCTCCAAGAGTTTGCAACAAGTTGGCCAATCACAACGCGCGAAATCTGTTGACCCTGTCCAAACGCGCATTGGATTGACAGATTTCGCATTGTGAATATTTCTCGAGCAGGGCGCTGGGAGGACTGATGGCTTTTCGCTGTGAGTGGCTGCATTTTGCAGAACTTGCGATTGCGAGGTTGCTGTTAGCGAAGCGTTATTAAATTTTTTGGTTCGCCAATTGCAATGCGTTGGCACGGGCAAAGTATCGGCTATATGATAAAATCACAGTGTGGTAATTTATCTTCAGCAATGAAGAAGAAAAAGAAAAGATTTAGAATTGATAACCGCCGCTTGTGTAACGCATTGAGCGAGTTCGCGCGCCTGGCAGAAATTTACCCATAATGCTCTGCGCGTTGTTAGCTGTGAACCCGTGTGACGTAATTCCTTCACTGAAATCTGTGCAAGGCCATAAGCCCTGTTCGGGGGCTGGGCGACGAGTGAAATTGTAATTGGCCAACGCGTTGCAAACTTTGGGAGGCGCACAATGTCCACATGATCAAAATTTGTACGCGGTTCTCAAACCATTAACCCCTCCCAATATGGCCCCCATTGTTAATAGTCCACGATTTAAGTAATGTAATAATACAGATACACATCCACACTCGGCTCCACACCAGGATTGGGCAGTGAGATCATCCCCTTTTTCGTTTTTTGGACATCTTCCTGTCATAACGTTCATAAACAACACAGGGCAACAGGTCCAAAAACTAAGGCTGCATCCGAATCTGTTGTCTAGACCTAGGTCTAGGTCTTCACTCCATAAAAAAAATACGCAGACGATAGACCTAGCCGTAGCTCTGAAAGCCCTTTTCGAATACGGCATTACTCTGACAGATCTCGATCCTTCACCTGTTGGAGGGTTGTTAGGTCTGGGGTCCATTATTGGCGATCGTATTTAAACTTTCCAAGAGGTTAAAGTGTAAAGAAGAGACGAACGATCGAGGGTCCATGAATGCAGTTGTTTATAAGGATATGTGTTATCTGTGAACAAACAAAGGAATAAAAGTTCCAGTGAGAGGTGAATTAGGAATAAGAAGAACGCCTAAACCACTTTTCAGTTTAAATCATATGGTCATCGATGAGATTTAGCAGGAACGGATGTAAAGCGCGGGTATGTGCGGGGTATGCGTGTAGATTCTGTCATAAAATACGCCATTGAGCATTTCTAAGGCGAGCATCCCCATTCTAATAATGATGAATCCAATTTTGGGAAACTTTCAGGATTCATCACAATTATCCCTCTTGAAAATCCATGTAAGATTAGCTGAGTAGTCTGGCCGCCCGTCCAAGAACTTGTAATGGAAACAGTGATATTTCTTGGCCATTTCTGAAATGGATGCAAAAAAAGCAGGGTTGACCTTTCACAGTATCCCCACCCACTCGAAAATCAGATCAAGCACATCCAGAAACTGTTTCATAGAGGGGAGTGTGTAAACAAGAGATGGCGTTATTCACGGCAATAGATCGTGGCTCTTGCTCTTCACCTCCAATATTGCAATTATAACAGCTCATTCTGAATAAGCAAAAATTTATCAGAATCCAGCTAGTTTTAAATTAATTAGTAAACGTGAGGGTGATTTTTCCAGAAAGAATTGGATTTCACACAGGTCTATTTTACAACGGTACCAAAAAATGTGCTGTGAGGCCCAACAACAATGAGATGAGCATTGCCTGTGCGAAAGTAATTGGTGCTAGTTAATTCCCTGCTAATATGAGTTACTTAACCAGGAAACTTACTATAACAACACCAACAAGTAACCAACCTTTCCCACATCCGAATCTAGCCCTGTAATCTCTGTTCATCCCGCTTTAAAATAATTCCATCTGTTTTTCTGCTGCTTCGAAACTAGGGTAAGTAAAATCAACTCGGGCCCAAACCAGCAGGGACTGTCAACCTGACACAGATCTAACCAACTCGGACCCGAATCATCACGATCCCAAACCAACGTGGACCTAGGCTATATGACTTGGGCCCACACCACCTCCAACTGAACTGAGACCAACTCAGACTCATAAAGATAAACCTTCTTATCGGGGAAGCCATTTTCAATCTTGTTCCGCGAATCTGTCATATTCAATTATTTATGTTTAAATGGTGATGCCAGACTATACATTAGGTTCCAAACCTGATATTAAACTGTTGTAATGTGACTCAAAACATTTACATAATTATAATTTAGGACAATTTGTTAATTAATTTTTTCTAAATGTAAACTGGGATTAATTTCTATGTTATTTTACTCTCAGGTTCCCCAAATAAAAAAGTTAACCTCACTGTCAATTCAAGATTGCAGACACATGAATACAGTCTATTAGGATTCAGACTAACTTTTTGTCTATACGGATCTCTTCAATTATGAATAAATTTATTTTTTAACTCTCTACTTAATTGGTTTTCATTTTTAAATTGATCATCTACTCCCATTTCTTCACTTCTTTTTCATTGCTTTTACATTTTACAATATTTTAATTTACTTAATAAGATATTTTGCTATATTTATCAATTAAAAAACCGATAAGGCTACTCTGTTGAAATAAAGCCGAAAGCATTAAAGGCAAGTTAAAACGCTTTAAAGTTTGTTTAACAAATTTGAAAAATTTATTGAAGTTTGTCCCGGATAAGTAACAAAAAGGGTCGAGAAGTTAAAGTTGACAGTCGATCTTAGAGTTTTTTTGGTTACATAGCTAATATTGTTTTATCATCTGTATTCACATTTCATTGTTTGTTTTCACGATAATTTTGCATTTGCAGTTCAAATCTGGCTTCAAACTTGCAAAGTCCCTCGAATTTTTCACTTCCTGCCACAATATGTCACTGTGATCAACAGACACGTCTGCAACTCTGTAAACACTTTCAAGACTGCGACCTTGTGAGAAAACAATCTTATTTGTTGCGAACCAGGAAACTGCAATGTTTGGTCGGACTTTATTCACAATGGAACATGTCTGCATTTGAATCTGATATTCTTTTGAACTTCTATTATGCGCGGGTGAATGTCTCGACGATACACGATCCCCACCATTTTCCTGCAAAAGTACAATAGTCGCACCAATCATGTGCTAATCGCTTCTTTTCACGACTTCTGGGGTCGTATCCATAGGACTGGGGCCGGGGTGCACAAGGGGAATTTTTAGAGGAAATGTCTGTACTTCTTTTTGTCTGCTGTGTACACCCAGTGGGTTTGCCACTGAAGGTGGCCTTGTCCGTGAATACCGGTATTGTTTGGATTTCTCGCGCCAAAACCTGTGTGGTTTCCTCATGCAGGCTCGACTAAACACGACACATTATGGGAAAACACAATTCCGTTCACACCCATGTTCTTTTGCTGGCCAATCAAGCACAAATGTTGAACCTGTTGATCGAAAGTGCTTTACCTGGTTTCTGTGTCTGGTGGAGGAAGTATGGGTTAAATTGAGACTTGGTGCAGCCGCTACTAAATCACAGCATCTGTTGAGAAAATTCATGTTGTGATGATGTTATGATGTTGACTTTTATTCCGCATCTTGTGCCGTAGATTACTTCCGATAAAGATGTTATTAACAAAACCTTAGAAAACGCACTTTTATGATATCACCCTGTTTTCAATTTTAGTCTGCCTTGTAAAAGGGTTTTTGTTGCATTTTTGGATCTCGTCCGAGGCTGTTGCAGTCAGGACATCCATGAGCAAAATAATTGTCATTATGGTGAAAGAAAAATATTGTCACGATTACAGTTACTATGATGGAATTATTGGGGATTATCTGTGCAATCTTCGCAGTGAGAGTCGTGAAGTGGGCTTTGGGTAAAGTGTTCTTAATGAAGCTGTGCGAATTCTAAATCTGAGTCACCAGAAATACATATTTCATGCATGAAATGACGGATCGTTGATTTTGAAAGATGAAAATAAACTAAATTCAGTAGTAGGAAAGATAAACTCCCTAGCAAACAGATCCCAGGACCGAGAGGTGTACGTTCTTGGAGCCCGGTGGGAGATTGCAATTCTGCCCAGACAAGATTGGCCGAGACGTCCGACTTCTCTGGAGTTCCCCTTTCCTTGACGCATTATAGAATGTATGACGTCATGCTCCCGTGTTCAATCACCACGCTTCATTATGGTTCAACGTCGATGGTGGTCGGCATTGCACACGCTGTACTTAAACTTGTAGGGCCACTTGGTCATTATGTTAAGAGTGGAGCACACGGCAAGTTAATTTCACAACCAGGCTTCGAGATGGAAGCGAAGACAAGTCTTTGTGCTTCTGCCGTCCTGCTTTGGATGCTTTTGTTCCTCCCAGGATCGGGTAAAGTTTTTTTTAAAACATGGTTGACTGCATAATCGACGACCTTTATGCAGGACTATACAGTCGACTGTAATCCTTATTATTGTATTCTTATTTCCAAAATCCAACACGTTCCGTGACTAATAGATGCATTCTGGCCCGGTTTCATCCTCCCAACAGTAATACAGGGGCCGATTTCATAGAGTTACTTAAGCACAGAATTACCTAAACATGAAAAAACCTTGCTTGACAAATCAGGTTACCAGCCAAAATTCCATGTGATGTATATTGGTTTGGAATGGTAGTGTACTCACCTGTCTTTTGGTTAGCCTTTCGATTTTCAGCAGGTAACCTTTATTTTTTAAGCAAGATTTTTTTGTGCTTAAGCAGCTTTTGTGCTTATAAGCTTAAGTAGCTCTATGAAATTGGCCCCAGATTTCCCAATTGGTCAAGTGCGTTTTCATGAAATGCATCAATTTAAATCCTTATACCACTCTCACGTCGAAATTTTATTGGTTGCAAATTGATCACGTGATATGCCACAAGCGCGCATGCATCATTTACGATCGAGTACACTAGACTGATCCTCGTCCCATTATGTAGGGACCGGTAGCTGACTACTCTACGAATCAAGGGTCCAGTATCGCTCAATGTCCACATGATCAAGACTGGAGGAATTAATCCAGTTTTCCGGAAATAGCCGAAATATCCCGAAGTCGTCCCGTCTATATTCGGCATGTTCGGATAAGTGTTGTAGGTCTCCTTCCTCCATGTTTCGTTACGGTACATCTTTTTGGATATTTGTTTTTCAGTATTTTGCTTACAAAAAAAACAGTCTGAGGATATCTGTTTTAATGTTCACATCACATAATTTGGGACACTCGGGTTTAAAATGACCAGACCAGGGTTAAAGCAGAGCAGTACCACTGATAAAAGAACGTTACGTATTTTGTTGTACATATTTTTGTTTGAAGACGTCACAGACGAATTATGTATATTTTGGCTGTTATCGAATAAGGGAATAAAAAATGTGCTTGGCCGGCACCGGCTCTGGAGAATGTACCCGGATGCCTTTGCCTGCGGCTCAGGCATTTGTCGTGTCCATAATTCTCCTGAGCCAGTCTTAAGCACGCGTTTAAGAGCGGCCAAGCACACATCTTTTTATTAAATACTAAATCTGCTGCCTTAAAATAATCTTGGCTGAAACGAAGCAGACATGATTTGCAAATTCTTTCTAATTTTTTCTCAACGTTTCAGATGCATGCCGCGGGGGTCGAGGAGGTGGAGGATGTAAGTACTGTATTAACTTCGTTCCCAGAAAGTTGAGCAGCGTGTCACATGGCTACCTGCTCTGTCGCACACTTTTTTACTTACAGCACGCGCACACTAGTATCAGCCTTGTGCCCAGCTGTTCGTATGAAATCAACTGTTAGCTTCCGTATGTTATAGTATAAGCTAATCCGACGATGAAAATTAGAAGCCATTACTGCGGGGCCATCCTGCTCAAGTTCACAATCAGCTGGGGATAAGTTCGTTCAAGGACCACTGTAAACTAGTGGTTGGCTCGTGACGTACCTAGCGCATGTGCAGTGCAGTTGAAGTGCGAACAATCCTAGTCAGTCGTTGTCGGGTCATTATGCCAAAGGGGAGAAAAAGTGGCAACAGGAAGGGCAAAATAGCAAAAATTTGCCTCATTTTTTCAAAATTGTAGTCGGGTGGTCGCACCGAATAGAGAGTTAAATTTTCATTCTCCACTTAATTCGTACGCGCAGCAAATATATGCTGGAATGTACGGTCTTCATGTGCGCGTCTTTTTTCGCCGGTGAGGGTGCACTTCAACTCAAGGCGGATTTCTATTGGCAATTTTATGCACGCCAGAATGTTGACAGGCTTTGAAGGCGCGCCGGCTTCCACGCACATCTGTATAAATTTGAGACTGGCCGTTTTTCCAAAGGTTTGTGAACATGGATCCGCCCAGTACATGGCAATTTGTACTATAGAGCTCTATGTTTGGAATGCGATCTTGCGGTCTAAACGGGTGCATACTCACCGCGTGTGTGCGCAGATTTACTCGCGTTTGGCGCAGATTGTGCTAAGTACGCACGGTCAATTTAGACCTATGTTGAATGTGTTGTCTTAACGTGTGCACTGGGTGCGCACTCTACAAATGCAATTTTAATTGAAACTTAAAGGTCACGATCGTAAGGTAAATCTACAAGGACGCCTTTTACATATCCTGAAAATGTTGATTTCTTTTTCACATCCATACTTCGCCAAGAAGGAAGCTAGTTGTAACCAGTAGGCTACAGTAGCGTGTTTTTATAAGCGATTTTCCGGCTCAGTGTGACAGAACTTCACACGGAGACTTGTTGTTGTTGGGCACTGGCATTTTTTTTCTTCTGAGTGGGCACGGGTAACACGATCCCAGCTAATGATTTTTACTAACCTGGCCTGGGGTGGTTTAAAAAAACAGTCTTTCTAAGTATTCTTTGTGCTCTATTGTCCTGATTCCAGACGCACCGATACACATCACAGCAGTCTGTCGTGAAAAAATAAATTACCGGTATTCCCCGCAGAGTTTATGAAGTGTTTTGTCTGCGAATAACCATTGTCCTTACGCCTTTAATGAGGGGCCGAAAAGAGCGAACTTCCGCGTTCAGCAGTAGCTTGTCATTCCTGGCTGTTTAATGTGGAGTGCTTACAGTAAGACGTGAACATCTTTCTCACGGGAATGCGAGGGTCTTGAAGGGGAGGGTTTGGACAAGTCAGTCTGTGGTTTCTTGTCGCGAACAATGGGGGCAGCTATTGCCGTTGCTGCCACTGCTATAGTGGTAGCAGGTTTGTTATCTTCGAGCCCTTCGTGCCCGCTTGAGTAAGCTCTTCAAGTTGTATGTATCATTTTATATGTTTGATTCAAAACTTGATGAGAAACAGTGGCGTATCCAGCCGGGGGGCAATTTCCCCCCCGTGTGTTTTTTTTCCATAAATATTACTTCATAGGTGAGTAGGAAAGAAAGTAATTGGTATATTCATTTTTCAAACAGTAGCACCAAACCCGTTTTAAAAAAGCACCATTTTGAACCCCCCCATTCGCTTTTGAGTTTGCCCCCCCCAACAAAAGCTTGATAAAAAGCTAAAAGCTACTGACGAGGAATGTATGAATGTGGGATCCTACCGTTTCAACGTCATTCACGAATACGTTTGATGAACGTCAACCCCCCTTTCTCCTCTAGTCGTCAGATCTTCTTACCAACTTCATTCATAATGGAATAACAATGAATTTTTTACATATATATAAGTGCAATAAAATATGAAAATAATTTTACTAGGAGGCTTCGCCTCTTGGAATCGAACGTTACCGAGTGAAATTATTCTTATTATAGGTTTTTCCGTTAAGTTTGCACTTCTCTTATTTAAAATTGCTAACATCATGCAGAGCATACTCGTGTTCCACGAGCACAGCTGGGTGCACGAACAGAAGTAAACAACTAGCAGGTCTATGTCATGGTCAGAGTGAAGAGAGTAGCAAATGCAAATGGACAGTGCTTCAATGTTTAACTCTTACTTCTTTCTTTGATATGGAAGATTTCCTTTGTGGTTCAATTTGTTCAAGTTCCTCTACGATGGCTCAGAAAATCTGGTATCGCGGTATCGAGAATTGGTTTCTACGTACGATGGCCTTTAAAGCACTTTGTTTGTAAATAAATAAAGAAAAACAATGAGTTTAATTGCTTTCAGAGGAAACAACACAGCCTTATTGAGTGATGATATTCCATTGAGGTAATTGACTAATTTTTTTGTCTTCTCCTTAACTTGGCATTCGCCGAGAGAACAAGATGGGAATGCACTGCATAACCTTACACTTTTTTCTTACCTCCAAGCACTTATCGATCCGGCAAGGAACAATTGTTTTGCCACAACATTTTAAACCCTGTCTTAAATCCAACAACTTTGGCATTCATCTTATTACGTAAATGAGTGTTTTGCCGAAGGAATAAAATATGCAGGTGTCGCAAATTTCATTTGCTTGGTGGACTTATTCTTTTATCGATATTTGAAACTATCGTTAAAAATGTCTGCTTTTTGAGATCGAATTCCCTGAGAATTTTGACCATCTCATTAGACCTGAACTATTTTATTCAAAATTGATATTATAAATTTTAAATTAAATATCCCCTCCAAAATTCTTCGTAGTCGGCCGGCCATAGGCCCAAAATACGTCTAAAAAAGTTTCGATGGCATTTTTTGTTCAAAGCTGGCAATGCTAGAAAGTATTACCATGGTCTGTTTCAGAAATACAGTGTACCCGGTTGCTAAATGGCACCTGACCTTGAAGGTCAAGATTAATGTACAAGAACAATGCCCTCGTACGTAATACGGTCGTTTCACAATAGTGCGCCTCCAAGAGTTTGCAACGCGTTGACCAATCACAATGCGCGAAATCTGTTTGGAAATGGTCACCAAATTACGCGTGATGTGATTGGTCAACGCGTTGCAAACTCTTGGAGGCGCACTATTGTGAATCGCCCGTATTATTCGCTGCAACTTTTTTTATTGGGGGCGCGCTTTAGCACGTAAAAAGTTTTCAGCGCAGAAACTTTGAGTTTAAGCCCATTTTGACTTCGAGAAAAATTGGACGTTTTCACAATCACAGTAAAAAAAAACACCTTTGGCCATTTTGGAAGTGACGAATGGGAACCCTACAATGGATATCCAAAGGCAGGGTGGCGTTAGAAATTACTGTTAAATAGGCGGTAGGTAATGACAGACACGGTGAAGGAAAAATGACAAATTTCGGACATCTTTTTAAAACGTCATTTTGGTCAGTGCGGGAAGTTACATGTACATGTAGTTCCTCGTTCGATATAACAGTCATGACCATGACAGTTTGATATTGCAACGTTCAGTAAAAATAAGATAGCCGTGTTAATCTGTGGAAGTGAAAAGGGATATATATACGAACGCCAGTCATGCCAGTGACTCAGTAGCCATAAAAGCAAAAACATGTCGAGAAAAGTTCAATTTAGGAGGGGAAAATATAATGTAGTTTAATGAGAAAACACTAAGATTTTTAGACCAGTCTCATTATAGGGTTTGTGTGCAGGGTGTCAAGTGGTATCTGTCTATAGAAGTCGATCTTTCCTGTGGAAAATATGAGGTAGCACTTTATTGACTAAGGTAAGTCTTTCAGTGCATGAGGTTCTGTATAGCAACAATTAACTGACTAGGCCTAGCTAGGGCCTATTTCAGACATTGTCAGCATGGTCAGATGCACCAGTTGTCCACCTTCGGCCTTTTCATTTGATGAAGTAGTTGTTCCTACAAAAGCTTGCGCAGCTCACTGTAGGCTTATCTTATGTTATGTTTTTAGTCTATAAAGTGCTACCCCATATTTTCCACTAACACTGAATAAGTTTGACATTTAGAGTGCAGCACCATGCACATACCCATCCACATGTACATGTACCTTATTTACATTGTACATATACCAGTTAATAGTGATGATGTAGGCCTATGTACACACACAACTCTCTCTCACAGAGGCAACCTGGCATGTGGGGTTTTTCGGGGTCAAACAAGCCCTAATATGTATCGGTAGGTGACAGTTTTTGAAGCAATATAATTATTTATACGGGGGAAAAATGGTTAGTTTTATATGCTTCCTATTTTCGTTGAAACTATTGCAGTCAACCAAAATAATGTACATCAAGCCCACGCCCTGGGTCTAAACTTATTTTCAAAGTGTTTCTGTACACTTTAGCCACCCCGATGCCTCCATTTCGACCAGGGTAATGTAATTTTCCAGGTTCAAAACGGCTTTGATTAAAGTCTTGTTGGTGGAGTTCTTCATTTGCATACGTACCAGAGTAGGAAAGTGAATGCATCATATCACACTTTTCTCAAATCGAATTAAATACCCAAACTCCTTTCCCATGCCTGGAGATTACATTGAATCTTATGTCATTGTTCTCCTTAATCAGTGACGACTCCCGGCAACCCTGAAATCCAGGTGGCACAGTTTGTTTTTTGTCCCTTTTGCACTCCATTGTTTTTAGGGATGTGCATCCTGAGCAGTCGCCAAATGTCAAATGGTTTCTTATTCAGTGTTGAACGTCAAAACGAGAAATAAGTAACTAACTTCACACTGCTTCATAACTTACAGAAACTTTTTTTTCACTCTGTTTTTAAATCCTCAGGCCATGATTTATTGATTACCATGGTGAATATTGCCTATTAGGAACTCACTGGCAATGCAAAATTCAAATTTACCAAAACCACAATAATAGATGTTACTGCAATAATATAGGAACGGAGTTGAGGTTGTTTTCTGTGGACATAGACACGTGAACCTGACGGAGTGTACGTAGGGCCCTGTTAATTAACAGGTTTAGTATGGACAGGGTAATTTTGTTCGAGAAATTGTTTCTGAGCAGCTGCGTAAGTGTGATTGGTGCAATCAGTCTATGCAAAAGTGAACTGGGGATGCTGCTTACTTGTTTTGCACCCCCCCATAAAAGAGGGTCTAGATCCGCCCCTGGTCTGTTCCAGCTGTTGATGCACCTTTGACCTAGTGTTTTAATACCCTTTTACTGTTTGCATAGCTCCGTGCAGGCAACCGCCAACCTTAGTGCCTGGAACTTGCCCCCGGCGGACTATTATAGAGTATGCAGGACCTCTGTCATCGACTGCAGTCGTTCGATGGTCCGAACCGAGAGCTGAAACTAAACACAGCCATTGTGATCCCGCTAGGTAAGTAGGCCTACAAATCTTACCCAGGGCCTAACCTTATTAAATCTCCCAAGATGTAAGTGAGGAAATTAAAAATAAAAAAAATATTGAAGGATGGACACCCTTCTGTTCTTAATTTTTCTTGGACATTGGCTATAAGTTTCTGAATAAGATTTTGTCTAAAGTCTCAATACTTCAAATACGGTTTGGTTGGTACATAAGTTTTAAGAAATAGGCCTACAATAAACAATTGCAATAGAATTGGAGGGGTTTCCTAAAAGGTCGTGGAGCCAGCCACAAGTACATGTAAACAGCGCCCTCTTTGATGCTCATGAGTAGGCCCAAGAAAGTTATTACGTGGCACTATAGATACCAATGAGGGTCCATGGTTTAGCAGTGGATAGCACACACACATCTTAAGATGACATGGTACATGTATACTTTGAGTTTGTTTCGCAGCCATTGTCCTTTTTCTTTGTCCCCCAGAATAAGAATTTTTTTAAATTTTAAATTGACTTTAATTCCAGATTTTAATTACAGAGTCTTACATTTCTGTTTTCTGATTTATGGCTCTAGAGGATTTTATAAGGGAAAGAAGTCTGAAATTGTTAAATGGTCTGATTCCCATCTCTTGAACATGAAGTCACAACAATGTTGGCAAAGAATCAGACTAAGATTTGTTACGATTATGATTTTGAAGTCCCTGAAACATTTGATGCGCATGTGTCTGGCTAGATATTGTTATTCAGCCAATGATGGTCGAGTATCCTCTGCCTTTGTAAAAATCAAAGCTTGTTGAGTACAGGACCCCAGCAGACAGGATGCGTATCGTAAGTCTGACGCCTCATAGGTCCGATGCCTCAAAAGTCTGAATTTTCAGACTTTTGAGGCGTCGGAATAATGAGGCGTCAGATTTATGGGCAAATTTTTTTTTAGCCTCATAGTTTCGACGCTTCAAAGGTCCGACACCTCTTAAATCGGACGTCGCACCAACGACCAACTTACTATGGGGCATCAGTGCAATTAACTATGAAACGTGGAGGAGTGCAGGCCTGCGCGACTTGTCGCCCGCTATCGAGATTCAACTTTGTTCCCAACTCTTGGTCACGGTGCTGACCCTGTTAGGAAAACTAAAAATCAAGTGGACTACCTGCCTAGTTCGTACACTGGTCCAGTTTTTTTTAATCCAAAATACCACTACGTGTAAGAATGATGTATGATACTTCGCTAAATATAAAAAGCATTTTTTTACTGTAATACTTTTGGGATCTTCAAAATGCTTGAATGTGTCATAAATAGTGCACCATATATGCACCAGGAATCAGTCTTGTTCCTGGCGCCGTCTTCATACGCTTGTTACAAGTTTCAAATCAAACATCGGACTTTCGAGGCATTGGATTTTTTGAGGCGTTGGATCTATGCCATGGGCCAAAAAACTGTCGGGACTTTTAAATGCATTTGTTAGACTTATGAGGCGTCGGACTTATGAGGCGTCGGAGCTATTAGGCGTCGGACTTATGAGGCGTTGGAATTATGAGGCATCGGACTTACGAAATTCTTTTGACCTTGACTGCTGGGCTGTGGTATGCCCTGAATGGAGGGCTTTGTCCATCAGCAGGCCCCATTGAACCAGCAGCTGCATGGTGAATAGACTGTATGTGTTATATGCACTAATCCTCACACAAGCCACAGCTGTCAACGGTTCCCGGTGCAAAGGGGTTAAATTTACAAACATAATACATGTATTATGCAATATAATATCATATCATGTCCACATTTTATTGTATAATATAAAATAAAATAACATCAGATTAGATCAGATCAGGGACCAACAAAGGAAGCTTCATGACAAATAAATCAGCACCAAATATATTAACAACCAATGCAGTAAGTTGCAACTGCAAATAGATTATATGGAGTGATGAGTTAATGGGATAGACTCAATCAATGTATATTTGGGTGATAGGCCTACCGGTAGGCCAACAGTGTTTTTGTTGTTTGAGCCTGAAATGCTCAAACATCTGGTTTTTCATTTGCAGAGTAGAGAGAGAGGATGGTGGCCCACCAAATGGCGGCTACTTCAATGCCAATCTATCACCTTACTACGTCAAATACTCAGCAACAGATGCCAAAGATAATAGGCAGCCCTACTTGTGTTCATTCATAGTGACTGTTAGAAGTAAGTGCTAGAGATTCTTGTCCCATTTATTTATTTATTTATTTTTTACATAATGATCAAAACTAGTGTTCATGCCAACTTTCCATGGTTCTCGTGCAAGACCAAAATTTGTAAGAGTGGTCTAAGACTTAGTCCTATACACTACTTCCTGCCTTTTTAAAAATTTAAATGTAATCTAGTGTCACTAAATCATGTGCGTGTGTTAAAAGCTACTGGCCATATAATAAGCAGCATCAAACTAGACGGGTTGAAAGGTTTGTGTCAAGTCCCTGTCCAGTCCACTGTGACTTTATCTTGAAAGTTTGAAAGTGCTCTGTCACATTTAAGTTTTAATCCCAGGTACAACTAGCACAGAGCTTGAAAATTACAATTGATGCAATGATGTTTTCTCCATTACTTTTAAAGCCTCTAAACATTGTCTAAATAGAGTCCAATGAAATTAGTATGAGCCTTGTGCACAGTACTGAAATCTAGAAACATCTGAAATGTACATGTACGGAGAAAATGGCTGGCACCTTCAAAGCAGTGTTTAGAGTCAAATGTTAAAATTACAGACTCAGTGATTGCATTGGGTACCTATGCAACTATAGTTTGGTCTGTGATTGTCAAAAAACGAGAGTTAGAGTACCATAAAATAGGAACCAGATTTCACATGAAATCCAGGTGGTAGTTTCATCATCTGATAAGCTTGAAACTGCCCATATGGTAGGCTTTTGAAAAATAGGAATGGATAAACTGTTTGAGGTATAATTTATGAATGGTACAGTTCATATCCGTGAGTATTTTTTCCAGAAAATTGGAAATCAAAACAAGTGGAAATATTGTGTATACATTTCTTTACTTTAGAGGGAAAACTAACTAGGCCCGTTCTTGTATAGGAAAATATGCTGAAAATTTCAGGGGGAAAAAAGCCCACAGTTTGGGAGATCTGAAGAAGGGTGGTTCAGTGTTACAGTTAGTTCCAATCGTGGTTTAATTTCTAACCGATTTGCTTGTATTGTCAAATCTACACACAGCTAGACGAATTATCACTAGATTTGTGTACATTTTTCATCTCCTCTCTTCAGTAAAGAGATGTGGGCATCACCGCCCAGTCACCTGGGGTTCAGTTTCCTGTTCTCATCAGGACCGGTACGGCTCAGAATGTACCGTCACCTGTTTAAGCGGTTACTCCATTCAAGGGTCACACAAGCGAACCTGCCAAGCAAATCGCATGTGGTCAGGCCTTCAGCCAAGATGTACACGTAAGAGAAGCCAAATCAAATGGTTTGTGGTTAGAGAGTTCTGGGCTTACGAGTTCACTACTAGTCTTTCTTTCTATTAATGGTTTCGTTTCAATTACAGGTTAAAATTAATTGAGTGGCCAGTTTTCTGCCCATGTCGCGCTGATTCAAATCATGATAACAAACGAGCAAGTTGTCGATCTTGAAACACTCCAAAGGGAAATGGTGTCATGGTAAAGCTTGTCGTCCACTTGTACTGTTGGGAAAAAAGCTTGGCAGACGTTTTTTGTTGACGATTATGTGAGCCATTCCCTTTCAACTTCTCCAAGGAAACCGTTTCTTGCTTCATGTGGTTTTGTGAGTAATGGAACAGAAACATATTATGCAAATAAGAAATGTCTATGAAATCGAACATCTGCCATCCCCTGAAATTCTTACCATTACATGAAGGTGAAGCACCATTATTTGTTTTGTACAATACCTGCATAAACCCTCTTCTGTTCGTGCATTAACATCTGTCATGTTGCTAAACACTTGCTTTGTGTCTGAAGCGCTACCCTCTATGAGGACCCTGCAATGTTAGACTGGTTTCCATCCCTTCATTATTTTCCCCTTTCTTACTGAGAATGAGTTAATGAAATGGTATACATACATGAAATGGGGGCAGGAATCATTTTAGTAAAAGATGAAGTCATATTCAACAGGTACTGTTGAATAGAACAAATAATTCAATAATACATGATCATTGATCATTGAATCATTTACATGTATGACAGGGATTGGTGCGGGTAATGTAGGAAACCAGATAATCCGCACATTGATTAAAGGTAACTTTCATTTAGGAAAAGTGTGCAGAGTCAGCTGAACAAATCTGGACAGGCTGTTCACTGTAAAAAGTGAGCTCCGTGTCCTGGGTGGCCTGCGCTGGACAAACAATACGTGTACATTAGATGATATGTAAAGGTTTTTCAAATGATTGAGAGGGGGGTCATGACTGGTTCCCTCTGCATATTCTAATGGAGGAGTTGGGGACCAGAGCATACCTTCCTCAGTTGTTTGTTAAGCTCAGACAAGCCATCGAGCTGTCTAGATGTTTTTACATGTTAGTGTGCATCAATTTCGAAAACAAAGGCCAAAATAATCAGTGAGTGTTTTCACCATCTTTTGCATGGCACTTAGCTACTAAGTAAGATACCTTTCTCCCGACATTTCAGCCATTCAGTGTCCAACCTTACCCGGTACATCCTGCACTGATTCCAACTACTATCGTAGCATCTGTACTCACTCATGCAGCCGAGCAGGCTACGGCCTAGCCCCAGGTCAAAGTGCGATCAGGGTCTGTAGAGCTGACAGGACCTGGACTGGGATTACTGCAACCTGTGTCGGTGAGTAATGTCAACCAGTCTCAAATCAGTTTTCCATTGGAGATATTCACAGATTATCTTGTCCTCCGTATTGTTAAACTGATTAGAATTCCAGTGTTTTGGACTTGGAAATGTCAGGACGAGGGCCAGTGTGGTAACCGCCTTACAGGTTGTTGAGTTAGTCTTAGCATGTGATAAGCCAGTTCCATTTGGCTGAATCAAACTGATGTTGAGGGTTCTGCATGCTGTGTATGGATGCTGCTTCAGCCAGACAAAAAAATGAATTGTTCTTTAAATAACATTTTTGACCTTGCACTCCACAGATAAGCAGGCTCCAACACTAAACTGCCCAGGAGATATCAGGGTGATTGCAGATGCCTCTCAGACCTACAAGAGTGTCACTTGGGACCTGCCGCAAGTCAGTGACAACTCCGAACTCCCCATCAATCCGGAACTGGCTCATGGAAGTCCACCACCTGGATCGATGCTCAGCAGAGGTTCTCACTCCATCACTTACCGGGCCACAGATGAGGCAGGAAACACTGCAACATGTTCATTCACTGTCATAGTCCAAGGTGAGCGAGTCATTGTTAACGTTAGTACAAGGTTTGGAATAATGGCCAAGAATACCATTTCAGAGAGGAACAAGTCTCTCGGGATGTGGCTTATTGCCTGTCCCATTGAAAATCTAACTCAACGTCATCATGCCACGGTGGCCAAGTATTAAACATGAATGCAAATGTTTTACAACGTGTGATGAAGTTTGTAAATTTTGTCTAATTTACCCATTTAAGCCTAGATCTGGATAATTAGCCAAATCAATATGATTAAGTTGTGTGTGTTCAGTATTGGACAGTTGCCCTGAGGTATCTGCTTGTTTTTTGCCTCTCAAAGGGAATTGGGTAATGAATAAACTAATGCCTCAATCATTGCAACACCTTGTTACCATATTTCCAGATGTGCCCTCGCAAATAACATGTGACATTGTACACAAAGGCTCCATGATATGGGGTAAATTTTCTTCAACCCTTAATTGACATTTAGTGATCCAGTGTCCAGCTCTCCAATTCCCATCTGGTCAGAGGATGATGTGCTCACCATCACAGTTCATCTATGGCTCTGTCTGCCAGTTTGAGTGTCAGCCAGGCTTTGTGTTGACTGGCAATGCCAGCATTGAATGCCAGCGAGAAGGGAACATAGGAGTCTGGAGACCAGAGCAGCCAACCTGTGAAGGTTAGTACTAGAAGAAGTCCTGTGGACACCAGTGGGTCTTGTGTCAGTGAAAGAGAAAGGGTGTTATTTATCAGCAATGACCGTGGAGGCCAACACGTCAGGTGCACACATGGTCCCAGGCACTGGCTCATCAGAGTTTATAATATTTGTTAGTGTAAATAGTTCCATCTGAAAATGCATAAATGCACTTGGTCGTTTGTGTAGGTATCTGTGGATATGGGCAGTGTGCTCTGCCTTGGCTCACGCATCCTCTTGTCACCTTCAAGGGAACCATGAAGTCAAAAGAAACTCCGTCAGATCTTTAGCTGACTGAATATAATGAGTTGTCTTAATTGTGACAAGTTACCCATCATCAAGTATTGATATCCTGAGGTGAAGCCTATTTTCCCAGACCAGTGTTGTGGTCCAGACCACCACAAGACTAGACACAAGACCGGTCACAAGACCGGTCACAAGTAACAGGGTAAAGAATGACAAAGGAATACTTTTGCCGGAATTCATTTGAACAGCTTGTGACTTGAATTCAGGCCGGAGGTCTTGTGGTTGTCTCGACTACAGCACTGTCCCAGACTCATGATCTGGTAGCCAGGAGATGGATAGAATCCCCCTAGTGTGATCTCAGCCAAACCATGCCTGACATTCATGACGAAGACTTTCTGATTCAGTCCGATGCAGATTTTGTTATTCAGGGCCTCATGGCTATCGGCATGCACTTTTCACATCAATGGGAGTAGTCAGCATGCTTAACTGGCCTGTCTCGGGAAAGAATTGGCATTTTATGAGGACGGTGTGCCCAATTTTTGTGCCATTGGTGTCAAAATAAACATCAGGCATAGCGTAGAAACTCCTGAAGGCTCAGCTTGAAACATTTCAAAATGATCAACAGAAATAAGTGCGGTCTACTCGACTTAACACACCAGAGTAACTAGCTGGAAACCTGCTTTTTCATGACCTTTTGATGATACATTCATTGAAATCCATGGGAACAACTTACATGTAGTTCTACTAGAATCTGTCTTACTGATGTGATTGTCTTGCAGCTATAACATGCCCTCCATTGACTGCTCCAGAAAACGGTAGAATTGTGGGAAATACTCCATGCTCTACAGCCTATGGCTCTTGGTGTCAGTTTGAATGTGACGATGGCTATCAGCTCACAGGGAGTGGAGTCCGTCGCTGTCTGGCAGTGGCTGGAGCAGCTGAGGGCTACTGGGATGGCTACGATACTAGCTGTGAAGGTACATGGGTAATTTTAGAAATTAGGGGTCCATTTTTTTTCGTGTCCCTGTCATATCTGACATATGATTTTGTAAGTTCAGAACACATGTTCTAATTTCCAAGAGTAATGAATTAATGCAAATATACCAGGCAATCAAATTGAAATCAATTCCGGTGATATTTCCATGTCAAATAACAAAGGTCAGATGTAACAGGGCCCAAAAATGTCACACTTTTGGACCTCTAATTTCTGGAATTACCCACATACACACATATACAATGTACGTGTAGTGCTGTGCCACTATTTATTGTAACCTGCAGGAGAACGTCACTGTAATGAACACTGTGGTATGCACAAGATAGGTTTAGTTTCATGCAGAGCTGTAACTAGTCAAATCACAGATGAACCAAAAGTCAGTAAAATCAGTCAATTCTAGGTCAGTCACTTCAAATTCAAGTCAACAAGTCAAATATGAGTCATTTACAAGTCAATCACAAGCCAACCGGAAGTCAGTCACAACTTGAGTCATAGATCAGTTACAAGTCAAATCACAGTTCAATCATTGATGGATATACATGTAACTGACAAGGTGAACAAGCCTTTGTCACAAGTTCATTTGGTTGCCTTGTGACTTGACTCTGAATGATTTATGATTGACTCATCATTGATTTGTGATGACAGCTGTGTACTTGGCATCCCGATCAATCAATGTCACTGTCTGTGGCAGTGTATTTATCTGGACTTTCTGACATAGGTACATCTTTGAATCTTTTGGTCAGGGTGTGATTGTACAAGGGTTTGAGAATGCTATCAACTACTCAGCCAAAATGTATTTACTGTAAACGGCAACACTTAGACATTAAAATCCCAATATGTCCATTCACTGCTGTGTTGTTTTCATCAAGATCAGTTCACCATGCATCAGTAAAATGCAAAGATTAACACTGCAAGAAAGTAACATAGTAATGAAGTGACAGTCACTGCCACGATGAGCCCTAATTTGATAGGGCTGTATCGATGCGTTCCGTTGCTGAGGATGTCGTTATTTATAGACGGAGTCATCAGGTCCTTTCTTCTTTAACTTCTTACCAAACCTTTTCCTCGGCATTCAGAGCAAACCTGTCCACGAGTCTACATCCCTCCCAATGCCTACATCACCAACCAGGATGAATGTCCAGCCACTGACCAGATCCCAGCAGGGACCACCTGCCGTTTTGCCTGCCGACCAGGCCACGCTCTGACTGGGTCTACAGAGGTCTCTTGTGGGACAGATGGAAACTGGGATACCACCTTCCCCTACTGTGAAGGTACATGTAATGTAGTTTAGCTGAGGGCAAATAATGAAACTTGGGATTAAGTTTTACTTAAAATGGTAAGATCTGTTTGAACTACCATTCAAATTCAATAGACAATTTAGCATGCTTGAGTAAATTTTTGTCTCAAGATTTTATCTGAATATTTACAGTTGACTGATAATTGGAGGTTTAATATATCAGGTGGCATCACCTATCATTTACATAGACACTGATTTTGACAAGCCTTATCTTTATTTTCAATGCTTTAGTTATCACCTGTGACAGCAGTGAGTTGCCTGCACCACAGAACGGAATCAAAAATGGCTGCCCCCATGCTGAGGAACTCTACGGCACAGTGTGCACACTGATTTGTGACCTGGGTTTCATGCCGACCCAGCCCACCTATGTAACCTGCGTTGATGACGGGAATGGAGGGGGGACGTGGGATAAAAACACTATCACATGTGAAGGTACGGTCAGTGGGCTGGTCTGTGTAACCTCCACCATAGGAGTCCACTCGTTAAAAATTGCTTCTTAAAGATGGTTTCAAAACAAAACAGGTTCTTTTAGTTTATTTGTCCGTTTTAAAATTAAACTTCGCCATATCCACAAAGAGGACAAACAACAATATGTTACTACTGTGAACAAAAATCACAGAAACAAATAGAAAAACCAAAGCTGGGTTGAAACCTCCAACCTTGTTAATATTATTCAGCGGCCCATCCTATTAAGCTACTAAAATACATCACTGCGCTTATCATATAGAGGAAATTGCAAATAATTGTGTTGACGGTGTCACTAGAACGTATTTTGTTAATAGCCAGGTGTGGTATGTTTGCATACTTAATAATGGAGACAGTGAGATTGCTAGGAGACAGTGAGATCGCTGGCTGAACTGGCTAAAGGCCCAAGCAATTGCCAAGAAAAATGATTATAGGTAGCACTGCATTAGAAAAAAACATAAAGTGGCCATTAAGAGACTTGGGCTACTAAGTAAAATTTGTCCGCTAGGACCCTGATGTCGGCAATGTGCTATTTGCTCTTTTGTTAAAGTAGTTGTTACCAGTCAGTCATAAAAGCTTACTTAACCAGGTGACCAGTCATCACAACATTTCTTTATCATTGAAATTTCAATTTACTTGGCTTTGCAGCTGTCAAGTGTGATCCACTGGATGTCCCTAGTTCTCCAGGTTACATGCCGCTGTCATGCACGCTGAGTGGAGTGACGGTTAATGACACAGACCAGATGCAGAGTTTTGGCACCATCTGTGTGGCAGCATGTGACCTGGGATTCACCAGTAGTGGCTCAGGGAGTCGTACTTGTCAGTTGAACGGCCAGTGGGATGGTGTTCCACTGCAGTGTATTGGTAGGCACTCTTCACCTAGGTCTAGGGCGATAGACTGTCGCCGTCCTACATCATCTTGAAATATTCGTCACGTCTGTATTCGGCTAACTCCTTGTTATCTCCAGGCTTTCCTCCTCCAAATAGACAAAGTTGCCTCATTCACTTATTTCAGTTGGGAGCCATTAATTTTTACCGGTTCTCATTAGCCAATACTTTTCTTGAGTTGGATCTTCAGTAACTCAACAGCCATACACATAGCTTGGGTCATTGAGGATTTTTGTCTCACTCAAGAGATCTTATCCCACTTTCTGACTTCACTATCTGTCTGTGGATTGACACCTCCTCCACTTTGTATGTTTCCTGTATTGGCAGATGTAACCCCACCCACTTTGTATGCCTCCTGTGTTGGCAGATATAACCCCACCTAGTTTGTGTGTTTCCAGTATTGGCAGATATAACCCCACCCAGTTTGTATATTTCCTGTATTGGCAGATATAACCCACCCACTTTGTATGTTTTGAGTTTTGGCAGATATAACCCCACCAACGTCGTATGTTTCCTGTATTGACAAATGTAACCCCACCCACTTTGTGTGTTTCATGTATTGGCAGATATAACCCCACCCACTTTGATGTGTCCATCAGACATCACACTGTTTGCCATTCAGGGAACAAGCTTTGCAGAAGTCGGCTATGAATGGGAACCCATTCCGGTAAGGGAAGCATTTCTTCACACATTGACCCAGCTACCAAATTGAGAAGTAGTTACGTAATGCTCAGCACCTGCGCATCATGTCAGTCAATATTCCTTCAACCAGCAGCATGTTTACACCTTGCTAGTGTGCCCAGACACAGTTCATATCTTGGGATGCCCAGGACATGCATGCAAGCAATACTAGCTGATGAGTAATATCTTTATCCTGTTCGCTGGACCATCTATGTCCAGTGTGCACAAGTACCCCAATCAGCCATGTATGAGGGGTTGGGTCAGCACACGAATGTGATTTCTGTGTGGTTTAGGCACACTTTCAGATCACGTGATGTGAGCGACAAAAGGACTTATCAGAAAGTGTTCAGCGAGGGTCATTCAAGTAAAATTAGTTTCCTCTTGCACATTGGTAATGAGCTGTTGACAGTTTTTGAAATAAAGTTTCTGCTCAAGCTTGCCCGTGAATGAAATCCGTCATCTAACGTGGATAAGTATTGATACGTGTTAATTTTGTGGGACCAATCAGGTCATGGATGCTAGTGGTGACATCATCGCTACGCTGACCAGCATCAATGGACAGCCAGTACCTGCCAACAGGAGCTCTATATTCCATGAAGGAACATATCGCCTTATCTACTCTGCAATGGATGTTAGTGGCAATGAGGCAGGATGTGACCTCACTGTGAATGTTATAGGTAGGTAACCACATTTATCAGGGAATAGATTGAGTCAGTAGTTTTCGATTCTAAAGTCAGTAGATATCAGTTCTGAATTATTTTGATTTCTAAGTTGTGGCAGTAAATTGTCGCATTATTCTTCCAGTTTCTCCCCACATTCTCTTCTTCCTGCAGTCGCCCGTTGCCCTCCGTTGTACGGTCCCCAGAACAGTGAGACCAGTCTGGTGTCTGGCCAAGGGACGTGTCACAACTCTGCCGTATATGGCTCTGTGTGCAGCATAAGCTGTGATGCAGGTTACACACCGTCAGATGGTAGCCAAGAAGTCACAGTTGAATGTGTCAAGAACACAGCGTCATCAACAGTTGGTTACTGGCAGGGCTCGGCAGTAGAGTGTGTCCGTAAGTACCTTCAACCTGCTTGATTTATGCCTTTACCTGAACTGATAGAAATGATCTTAAGTTTGTACTTAGCGACGTCTTATTCAGTGAGAGTTTCCCAAAGAATCAATGTTTTGCCAATCAAATAAGTTTCTTAAATTCTTTACCAAATTCATTGAAGTTATCTCTTGTGTGACGTCAACCCGGTTTTAAGAACACCAGCAATTTATATTTTTTTTAATCATATTGTTATGATTGATATTGCAATGGATTTTTTTATTTAAAAAATTGGTCCTTAAATGTTTTCATGTTCTTTTATTCATTTTTATCGAACTGAAACTTAAAAGAAAAATAGTAATCAAGAAAAAATGAAACTGTAGAGATTGTTTTGTTAACTGATTCACACAGATTATTATGATCGAGTTAGGGATAATCACATTGTCTGGAATCCCAATTAATTTTTTATCGTTCCCTTTCAGCCAACATGTGTCAGGTACCAACCATCCCCAACGGCTACATTTCAGGCTGCAGTGAACAGGAGGTAGAGTTCCAGTCATCCTGTGCATTCGTGTGCAGTCTTGGTTACCGTGACAACCGTACATCCCTGAGTAGGACCATTAGGACGTGTCTGGCTGATGGGCATTGGACAGGAGTGCAGCTGGTGTGTGAAGGTGAGGCAAGAATTAATGACCTCAGTCTTGTCATTTCTTAACTTTATGTCAACCAAAAATGGAAACTCTGCAGTGATTAACCACTTGCCGCCGGGGTCTCTGAAATTGGACAAAGGGAACTGGGCCTTGTAGCAAAAGACCGTGCTTGGAACAAAAGACTTGGCTGCTGGGTATTACTGACATTGTTTCGCTCTCAGATAATCCAGCCTTTTTCTGAAACAGTATACCACGGTTTGGGGCATTTAGAGCGAGCGGATTACCACCGGGGACAAAAGCGCTCCACCACAGCAGCGATGAGCCACACGGCACCGCTGCACACTAATCTGGCCCCTATTGAAAAGAGGTCAGCAGGGCACTGTGCCAGGTTCGTGAACAAAAGAAAGTTTCATAACACCGCACAATCTGGGCTCTTTTTACAAGGCTGCAGGCCTGGCTGAAATACTCGGGCATCAATAGATTTTGTCTGTCAGACTAGAGTGGCCACCAGACAGTAATTTGTCTGGGTAACGTCCATTAATTGAACTGATGAATTTTTGAAGAATTTTGAAAACGGAAAAATCTTGAAAAGGTGCCGGCAACTCAACCCGCTCAAGAGAAATCCACCCGGCAGGAAGGGGTTAAATTGCTCACTGCGTAGTCATTATCTCCTTGGTCAGTTGCTTTATTTGAAAATCAAACAATAATAAGAGCGTTCCACAGTATTTTTATTGTTTACATTATCCAGCATTTGCCTACAAGAGGCCATTTTTTTGAACTTCGTAAAATGGTTAATAAGATTTGAAGCTTTGCATGGTGGAGATAGACTAGAGAGCAGGCTTGGGGTAACTCCTCAAGATCTCTTTTTGGAAGAGTTATATATGATTCTGATGAGAACCGGTGAGTGTGAACTCAAAGTTTCGACCATTGTTCTCTGCTTACCACCTCCTGAGATCTATGCACATGGTGTTACCGCAAGCCCTCTCTTCACAAAATGAGCTGTAAGTCGCCAAAGCCACTTTTCAGTTGAAGGCTTTGAAAAGAACCTTGCATATCATAAATTTGGAGGAACCCTCAACATTTTTCACACATGTAACTTCCGTCTTCATCAGGATGCCACACTGAGTATCAGCATTGTTGAGTCTATTGTGACTCCTTTCACGTCCCTACACGAGAACAGTAATAAATAACACAGGGTGAACAATGACAGAGGAATGCTTTTGGTCACAGCTAGTTTGAATAGCCTGTGCTTAGGCTGAACCCTAAAAGGGGGGGGGCGGAATATCACACCGAACCTTCAGGACTTTTTCAGTGATGTCTTGAGGGTATTTTGACACAAGTTTTGTAAAAGCTGGTCATACTGGTACCCATTTTTCTGAGCAAGGTCAGCCACAAGGTATACTTTTTCCATTGATGTGCTTGAAGTAAAAGGGCTGGCATGCACAAGGCTTTGAACTTCAGAAGGCAATAATGAGAAAGCCTTGAGGTCAGATTTACTTCACATCTCACATTTGTTTAGATGAGTGTGCTTACATACATGCCAAGTTTAACAACAATTGAATGTAGGACAACTGAGTTATGGGGGGGGACAATCTGCCCCTTCCTTTCCATGACCTGTTTGGAAAATTCTCAGAAGAATTAGACTGTTTAAAAAATCTCAGAAGACTTGCTGGTTTTAAAATGAAAGAGACTTGTTCACAGCATCAGAAGTAAACAGCCCTCCAATCAAATGAACAAGATCCAATCATTCTTCACTGCAGCTGTTGTGTGTCCCACCTTACCAAGCCTGGACCATGGTACAGTCCAACCCAGTGAATGCTTCACCCAGCATGAGCTTCCATACAACACCCAGTGTATGTTCACCTGCAATGAAGGCTTCTCTCTCAATGGTCCCTACAGCAAGGTTTGCACTGCCCAGGGAGTGTGGAGTGATGCACGCCCAGTCTCCTGCTCAGGTAAGCTAAATGGACAAACTGCTCATTGTGTTTTGTGTCTGAATGGAGACCTTAATGCGTCCGGCAGTTAGAGGCAACGAAAATGTAAAAAATGTGAAAGATTACTGTGGATGCTTTCACTTCTGGAACGTAGATTGAATCTCTTGGTGGATTCAGAAGAACGTGGCCCTTCTAATCTTTTCATAGAATGGAAAGTAGAAATGGAGAAACACTGACAGACAGATTACAGTTTGTGTACACCAAAATAGCAAATGCCATCAGGGAATCCAGCCAGGTCCTCAAACCCCCCCCGGTCAATTCAACCTCCTCACTGTGCGTTGCACACTTCTGTTTTTATCTCGAATATATTTTTATCTAGAATACCGGCCACTGAAATCACCGAACCGTGCATTCTCTACGTCCAGATTCCAAACAGCCTCTGGACTGCCCAATTTTGCAACCTTATGTTTCCTAGCCAGCAGTCTTTTCATTTTTGTTCTCGTCATGTCCTCATCAGATCACCAGCCACCTGCATTCATAGGCACTTGCCCCATGTACATCTCTGCAGTTGCACCCCCCAACATGAGACAGACTGTTGTCTATTTCACTACACCAGATGCCACAGATAACTCTGGTGGCGTCACGGTGACCAGGTCTGTATTCACATAGTTATATTAATCCTTATGTCATCCACTTGAAGGGGTCTAATGACCGGCTCACTGTGATGAAGACATCGAACATTTTAAGTCTGGTCGGTCAGTTCTCTGAACTCATTACCACAAGAACTTTTGACCCGATCGATACACCAATCATCATGACTTGTCAGAGAGACTATACCCAAATACAACGTCCAGGTTTCTTAAAGCTGTGAATATTGTTCTTTTTTGCTGTTAACTAGGGGAATTCTGTTACATCTATCCGAGAGTATAACTGAAGTTATTTTAGAGTGTGTGATGTACCATTATCCTTGGGTGATCTCCACAAAGTGGAACAAACAGGGCAGTGTAACAGTGAATGAACTGTGTGGTATTGACAGGACTACATTAATGTGAGTCGCAAGGCTGTTGGGATATGAATCTTTGTTTGATTGCTCACAGGCAAAACCCAAGCCTTGGCTCAGGTTCATCTTTCGTTGAGGGAACAACTCGCGTGGTGTACATTGCTACCGATGCTGCAATGAACAGACGGCAATGTGATGTGTATGTCACTGTGCAAGGTAGGCCAGCGTCCTGTCATTGGTAATGCAATCCAGCCCTCCACTTGCCATAGACTCCCAGCATAGTCTGCACCCTGCAGGAAATCCACTACCTGTGTTGTCTAAGGAAGGTTATCAGTCAATGGAAAAGCATTAGAGTCATTTGAACAAGGATGCCTGCAGCAAATATGGATGACAGATGGTAACAGGTGCAGACTTTCTGCTGAGAAAATGAGAAAGACTGCTGTTTTGTAATCAATCCTAGAATCTAGACAGAAGCTGCAGTGTGAGTCTACTTATCTGAAAAGCACAAAGAAACTTGTCTACTAAATGATCAGGAACTGTGAATGGCATTGATCATGGCAACAACTTACGAAGCTCCTGTCACTTTAGATGTAGAAAGCTGCTAATATGTGATGCTTCGATTGTCTTGTGAAAATGAGTTTCTTCTCTTTTTTTGGAACTTGGATGTTATAATGTTTATTTGCATCCTTTCATTGCAAACAGACATTATGCTTGTCTGCTTCATGAAACTTACATTGCCCCATCAAATGCGACATGTTCCGTAAAACGATCACGTCTTTTTCATTGTAAACCTACAGGTATTCAGAGGAATTTGGAGTTCATGTTTGTTATTTTGAAAATTTTAGTTTGGCTGACTAGTGCAAGAATGGTATCTGTGTAACTGTAACAGTTATTTCCCGGATAGAAACTTATGTCTTTTCAATCATTTCTGTTTGTTGGGGTCAACTATAGCAAATAATTTTGCCAAAGTTAGCTTACTTTGGCATAGCAGTTTACGCAAGACAGAGTAAATCATATAGGAAATCAATTTTACTGGAAATTTATTTCTGTCAAATATAGAATAAGACTTGCGACAAGTGACTTAATGGCAAAGTGCTTTGAAATAGCACCTTTCTGAAGACAATCCCAGGGTTTGCAACCCGATATCTTTGGTCTAGAATTTCCTTGCTTAATCTCTGTAATCCATTCTCCCTTGAACCTTGACCCCGTCAGTTCAACGCTGCCGCCCACTGCAAGCCCCTGCCAGTGGGTCCCTGGTCCAGTGCCCCAGTAACATCTACGGTGCCACCTGCAGCTTTGCTTGCAATGAAGGCCACGACCTGATTGGTGATAGGAACAGGATGTGTGAGAGGGTGAACACCACCTGGGCCAACCAGATCAGTGGCAGTGACAACTTCCAGGTGGAATGGACCGGGGAAAGCCCAACGTGTTCTCGTAAGGGGATCCTTACAGTCTTTGTCTTGATATCCGCTGTAGTATCCACCTAGAGAGACACTTCCAAAAGGCATCTGCTCAGATAGATGGGCCCATGCTATTGCATCCAGGGCAGTGGCGTAGCCAAGGGGGGGGCCTCTGGGCACCCCCCAGAAATTCCTGGTGCCCCCCAGGTGCCCCCCCCACTGGAAAAAACGGATGAATGGATATTGAACATGACTAACAAAAACTTGCCCCCTCAAAAAACACAATACTGAAAGCTGGTGCCCCCCTCCCATGAGATTCTGGTGCCCCTTTGTGACCCTGCCCCAATAAATTCCTACCTATGCCACTGATCCAGGGTGTTGGTGTGGTTGCAACTGCAAGACATTGTTTCTTAGCTAGGCTTACCTTGTGTATTTCAGCGGAAACAAAGTATGTATTTAACTAACGTACCACGTCACATTTGCAGCTCTGTCCAAAGAGTAACTGACGAAATAATTGTTGAAAAGTATGCTTGATTTAAAGATAGCAGAGCTCCCTGTGAAATGATTGTCTCAGGAAGGCTGTCAGTTTGAAGAAAGCAATAGAAAAGGGCTATTTCCAACGATGTGTCTTAAGAGGAATATTTGGAAATTGGCGTTGGTAGTTCCCTTTTAATTCGGCCAAGCATGTGAAAGTGTTGACACTATGAATATGTGTGTGCAGTTGCTGTGATTTGTTCATTCAGTGCGCAACATCTTGTACCTGCTGAATGAGAGTGCATCTCAAAATGTGACTGCAACTTCTAATTTGAAATTGAGATCCTAGAATGATGTTGTTGGAGCTGGAACTTCATAAGGCTAGTCATAAAGCACCCTTCTTTAGATTCAGAGATCATTTGTTGCCTCAGATGAACATAATCCACAAAGGATTATTCAGACCGTACTGTTAGACAGGATCAAATGCTCTCTCTGTGTCTCTGCATAGGATTCCTGATGTATGGTACACTGCTTGATTGAGAGCAGTTCATTCTATTTGAAGTCTGAATGGAACATTGTACATTGGACAACATTGTTCTTTGTATTCGTGAAATGTTTTGAATGACTTGGATGCTGCATCCATGATGTTTTTATCCTCTTGATGATGCACTTTCATCTTTTTTTTTTCAGCCGTCACTTGCCCAGCCCTGTATGACCGGCTCCCTGCTATACGCTCAGGTTGCTTTCAGTACCCACCAGCCACTGAGCTGCTAGGAACCACCTGTAACTGGTACTGTCCATATGGCTATGGTGGAGTTGGTTCCCCGCGATCCATGTGCCTGGCCAACAGTACCTGGGACGTAGTTGACTTCTCCTGTGAAGGTACTTGTATGTGACTTGAAAATGGTATAAGTTGGATACCAGGCAATTTATAATTAAAACATGAATGTCACTCAACAGACTTGATAACACTTAAAACTGACATGGGTTTAATTGATTTTTGTAATAGCAAAAGTAATCTTGATAATTAAATTGGGCTTATTTGATGAAAGTTCCAACAGTATATAAAATATGTAATTTCAAGAAACATGTACAAGTGGAAAGTACAATTGACTCTTGTTATTATAAACTCAGTTGTGGCAAATTCCGGTTATAACAAATACGTGTTTCGGTCTCAATGGGAAGAAAATCTGTTTATAATAAAATTGCATCTGAAAGGTTCCCGTGACTGCTGCGTAAAATGCATCGCTGGCGACCCACTTGCGTCAAGTATTTATAAATCCAAGATCGCATACATTATTTAATTGTAAGTGGAGTTTGTCATCAGCTGGTGTCTCTTGTGTCAATTATGGAATCAAAGCCCCAGAGTCTTTTCACTGGAAGGTACTCAATGTTGGACTCTGCACGGTCACTACTCGTCTGCTGTTACCAACTGCCGCCAGTCATTAAATGCACTGTCCCAGTGATGCATCCCAGTCATACACGCTGCATAAGGATTTCCTAATCGTATAAAAGAAATGATAAGCATTTTTTTAAAGGCTTTTGCTAGATTTATACTTCTGAAAAAATAAGGTATCTATCCCTAACCTCCATTAAATTATAAATTCCTAAAATAAACATTTTCAGTGGGTCGTGCAGATTTCGTAATGACCAGAGTTGACTGTACTTTTTTTACTTGTCTACTTTTTCTTGTTGGGTGAGAGCTCTATTCCTAGAAGATTGTACTCTTGTTATCGTCAAGGCATTGGCCATCCAAGTTGAAGTTCAATCAATGGTACATCTTTCCATTTTTCCAAACAGAGCGTAGCTGTCCACCTCTTGACCCACCAGCCGGCATGGAGATATCTCCTCCCAACTGCCTGAACTCCCCAACGTTCAATGACGACTGCTTCCTGCAATGCTCTCAGTCAGGCTACAAAGTGGACCCTCCATCCTATGACTTCATCCGTTGCCGTGGCAATGGGGAATGGTCACGTGACATCTCTGCGGCCACCTGTGTCGGTAAATTCTTTTTCTGTCAAAATGGTACTGATTCCACAATTGTTCAGTCAGTGTCTTGAATCCCTTGTCATGACCACAGCTGAGTATATGGAAGTTGAATAGAATCATTGCAGTGGTGTTTGTATCCAGTAATGGGAAGTCCATTTTTTAATTACGGGTGACAGAAATAGAAAACATTTAGTTCACGTGAAGTATTTCAGATGACAATAAATACATAACCATTTCAAAAAATCATAAATTTAATGTTTACCCCATTAATTGTGACTGCAAAATGAATAAAAAGATCCTGCGTTTCGCCGCCCACACAAAAAACCCCTTTTGGCCGTTCGCTCTCCCAGGCTAATGATTGGGCGCCATCATCGCCAGAACAATGCATGTACAATGTACATAGCGCGCACAGTACATGCAGTATTGCACGCTTGCAGTAGATCACGTTGTGTTTGATGTAGCTTGGCCAACAGGGCAAATACTGTTTCAGTTCAGGAAATACGCGGTAGGACTGTGTCTTGTAATTTCTACTTGAGACAGTGAGCCAAGCTACGTCCAACACAATGTGGTCTGTTGCTTGCGATATTGCATGTACTGTGCGCTATGTACATGTACACTGTACATGCATTGTTTTGCCGATGACGTCATCAAATCGGCCTGGGAGCGTGAATGGCCAAAAGGGGGTTTTTTGTGGGTGGGGAAATGCAGGAACTTTTTATTCATTTGGGGGTCACAATTAATGAGCGAAACATTTAATTTATGATGTTTTTAAAATGGTTACGTATTTTATTGTACTATATTATTATACTTGACATGAACTAAATATTTTCTATTTCTGTAACCCTTTAAGAAATCCGTAATCTACAGATCAAATTCAAATAGTGCCTATTATAACAGCTCTTTAGAATTAATGATAGGCCCGTTTCAGCTCCTCTTGTCATGATGGCAAGACATTGTCATAGGAGGCACTGTGAAAACAAGTGAGTCAATGATGCTTCTTGCCATGTAAAAAGCTCCCCTCTTCTGACATTGCATTATGCATACTTGAGACAGGCATTTGTTTACAAACCTGTAAGTGCCCAATCCTCAAGTTTTGTTTTCTGACAGTTTCCATGATGTCACAGACTGGAAGACTTGGTGGGTGCACTGTTCCTTTCAGATGTTTGGAACAGGATGCATACATGTATGAAGAGACATTATCCAGTGGTTGAATTAGATCAACTGATGTTAAACTGAATTGTCTCAGCTAGCATCTAGATGGAATGGTGTACCATAGAGCCAATGTAATCAGCAGAACCATTTGAATTCATTTGATCTCAGATTACGAGGATCCGCATTTCATTCTATGCCCGTTGGATTTCATTGAGTACCCATTGCAAGGTGCATCTGAAGCCACTGTGACATGGAATGTGATGGCAACAGATAACTCTGGAGAAACACCGTCTGTTAATTGCAGCATCCAGCAGCCAGCAGTGCTGGCTGTAGGAGAACACCCAATCAGGTGTACGGCGACCGACGATGCAGGGAACCAGGCATTCTGTGACTTTGAAGTCCAAGTCAAAGGTGAAGCATTCACTTATCCCAGCACAAATTGCAAGTACAATATTATTGATCCTGTCATGCGTGGGAGCCTTTTTATTTCTTAAAAAGGACTCTCCCGTCAAATTTTCTTCATTTACTACCAAGAAAGTACTGACCAGAAAAGTATTTATTGCTCTCAGTGGCCTACAGTTTCCTGAAATTTTACTAGTTTTCAAATTTTTAGAACGGAATTACCTCTGTTATTGGAGTACAAGCTCCATCACATAACTGCTAGAGCTTTTCTTTCAATTTTTAAACATCATCAGAAATATTTAAGGAAGTGTGCAGTGTTTGATATAAATATTTGTATTCTGGTAAATTACAGTCAAACGGATTCTTTGTTTTGACCACCTAAATGCACCCCTGTATTGGTGCTGATAGGATTTATCCATGCACAGAATCAATACAGGGATGTCTCTGCAGTGATGTTACTTGTTTAATGACCGTTGCTCAGTCTCAGCTTCAGAGGTAGTAATTTCCGTCAATATTCATCCCAGTTCGCCGATGCAGGCAGCTCAACCCTCCCTTCTACGGCGACTTTGTCTCAGAATGTGACAGCAGCCATGGATCTACTTGCCAAGTCCGCTGTCAGAACGGTTACACCCTACGGGGTTCAGACACCGCTACATGCTCCAGGAATGCCAGCACTGGCTTGATGTACTGGGACTGGAATGGCCGACGCCCAACCTGTCAAAGTAAGTGCAGCAAAGTTATAGATAGTACATCATTATTTGTTCCACTGAAAAAAATAACAGTAATTGTGTACTTTCCCCCCAGTTGCCAGCTGTCCACCTTTACCGGATGATTTGATCCCTGTTGAGGGGGGTGTCTATCCCTCCTTCTGTCGCGGTCCTATTCCTCCCTATTACGGCACCACCTGTCATTTCTACTGCCGCAACGGATTCACCCTGGTGGGCCCTGCAGACCATCAGAGGTTGACCTGCCTCTCCGATGGCGCTTGGGACCAGAACCTGTACACACTCAATGTACAGTGTCAAGGTGAGTATCGAATCTCCATGCTGTAATTGAGTTTTTTCTAGTTCCAAGTTCAGTGCCAAATATTGAACTGGTTTAGAGGGAATGTGGACATTTAATGGTAAATGTACAATGATAAGACTGAAAAAAACCAATTCAAGAATTCAGAAATAGGAGAAAAGTAATCAAAGAGAACCCAGCCGAGTAATTTCAAGTACTTTTGTCGTAAAACAGATTTTTTTTATCAAGTAGTAATGGTCCGGAGTCATATCTTATTTGGTAACCTAACCTTTGGGAAGTTACTGTCCAATACTCATGGTCTTGACAATGAGCATTAAGCCCATGCTTTCTTCAATTAAAAGTGGTCGACTGACCCTGATAAACATTGGTGGTTAAAATGTTAACCACTATATTGCCTAAGATTTGTTTACAATAAACAAGCTGCAGAATTCTTTGTTTGTTGGGTTGTTTGTTGGGGTGTTGGGGGTGTTTGTTTGTTTGTTTTTGTGCTGAAAATACTGTTTTGAATTAGGCATAGATAGACTTCTTATAATTTTAAAAAGAGAGTCAGATTTTTAAAAATTTAAAAAAAAAAGAAAAAAAAGCTAATTCTCAGAGTCATTTGTACAATAACTGTACATTTTGTCTCTTGACAGACAACGTGCCACCAACCCTGCGTGTCTGCCCGGGCTCCCTGTCTGGCTCCATGTCTGGCCAGACCTTAGGCGTTGTGCTGTCCTTTGATGTACCCATGGCCGTCGACAACTCAGGAGCCCAACTGACATTGATCAAGACTCCTCCGGATATTGATTCCCCGTACAATTTCACACAGGACACCGACGTGTCATACATCTTCACAGACCCTGGAGGGAACAGTGTGTCATGCAATTTCAGCGTCAGCATTCAAGGTGGGATCACGTGTTTTGTCAGTCATTTTCATTGAGCTCTTATGCCAACTTTAGGCATTGTCACTAGGCAGATGTAACGTAAGGGAGCACTCATGACCACCCATGCACAGTAAGGAAAGCTCGGCCGTTAAAAGGCATTTACATTCGGCTTGTTCATGCAACCACCCTTTTCAGATGCAGTTGATAAAGTGCACATCTTGACATGTGACCAGATTTCGACCTGTGTACCACCCATCACCACCATTCAAATATCGCTTCATCAGCATCTTGATTTTGCCTTTGATGGCCAGTTGGTGCTCTGTTAACATGCTGTGCAATTGTATAAGGAAGGTGGGAATAATAAGGAATAACGAATGCTTTGGTAAAATTCAATTTAAAAACCGTTCGACAACCATTGGATGATTTTTCCCAGGATATATGTTGTGCACAGGTAGCCAAGTTAGATTGACCAGTGGTCATCAAGTGGCCATTGCTCTAGCTTGACCTTCACTGCTAAGAGCCTGGGTACCAGCGTTGCAATGAAGACCTTATTGCAACACCTCACTCACAGATTCTGTATTTTGAATGGCCGAGAGTTAGGTTTATGGCAAAATGTTTTGCTCTATCTTGTCGAGCACGCCCAAAAGAATTCTATCTGTAGCAACCAAAATGCTAAACCACATTATAGCAACCAAAGTACTATACCACAA